CTCTCTCTACTTCGGGACCTACAAGGCTCCAGGGGTTGGGAGTGCTATTTCTCAATAACTGATAGCACAGACAGCTTCGTCTCTTCACATTCTAACCAACACAGCATCTCTCCAAGCTAAAAACAAACAGTGTTTGTACATCAGCAATAACATACAATATGTAAAAGCTGATCATAAAACATGTGGGTTGTTTTACACTACATACAAAAATGTCAAGTTTTATCAATGAAGTTTTAAAAAAATTTCAGAAACCTTCCTCAAACTGTACAATCAAGTTAAAAACACTACACATGCTCTATTTGCTTATAATTTCCCTTCTTAAGCCTACCTTATTGAATAAGAGAGACAGAGAGAGAGAGAGAGAGACTAAGCAAAGTTACTAAGGGTGTCTGCAGGCCAGAACTCAGAATATTTGTTACTGAGTTTAGAGTTTCATCCCTTCTTACTAAAAAAAGCTGAAAAAGTTCCTCAGTTACTTTGTTTTTCCTTTTCCCTCTCAAGTTTCCCTCCCCTTTCCCGACTCAAAAGCATTCTCGAAACACCGGAGAAAGGCAGAGCCTCCCGGTTTGGCCTCCCTCTGAGCATCTGTGCACAGGCCTGTGGGCCAGGTGGGGATGGTGTGAGGGTTGGTTGCCCATAGTCCCCCTTCCAGCACTTCTTGCCAGAAACCCCTGCAGTCAGCTTTCTGTCCTCTCCACTCCAGAGGGATGGCTCTTTTCAGAGTCCCTCATGACTTGAGCACTGCCAAATGCAATGCTTACAGTGCAGTCTACACTGCACCAGACTTCTCAGCAGTGATGCCCACGAACGGTCAAGCCCTCTCTGAGGACCCCTGTCCTTAGAGCCAGCTCTTGACTCTAGGAGCCAGCTCTCTTGCCACCCTGTTCCCTCACTGACCATCTTCTGTCTTCTTCATTTATTTTGAGTCTTTAAATGTTCTTCTTTTTTCTTTCTGCATTACTTTCTAGGTGACCCCATTCCTACCCAGGCCTTCAAACACTATCTTTACACTGAAAATACTCAAGTCTTGGTCTTCAGCCTGGACCTCTGCTCTAAACACCTAGCTCGTACATCCCGCTGGCTACCCGGCATCTCTACCCGGACATCTAGCAGTCTCCTAAACGGACGTGGTTACAACTGGACTCTCTTTCTTCCCGAAATCTGCTCTTCCTGAGTCTTTCTCAATGCAGGAAATCCCACTTCCATTCTTCCAGTTGCTCATCTTGGGTTCATTTTTTGTCCTATGTCATCATCTAACCCAGCGACAACCCACGCTGGTGCCACCTTCCAAATATCCAGAACATGACCAGTCCTCACGAGCCCCTCTGCTCCCACCCGAGTGTAAGCTGGCACCATTTCTCCCCTGAGCTCTCGCAGGAGCCTCCTCATGGGTCTGTCGCCACCCTCACTGCCTCACAGCAGCCATAAGGAACCTTCTGCAACAGAATTCAGATTATACGTCCTTTGCTCCAAACCCTCCAACAGTCGTCCATCTCACAGGCAGAAAGAAATCCAATCCGGCCAGTGCGCAAGGTGCCTCATGATCCACAGCCACCTACCCTGACCTGGCTTCCTACCAACCCCCTCCCTGCTCCTGCCACACAGTGACGCCGGGGACAACAGTGGTTTTTAGTTCTGTGGTAACGGTCTAACTCCAACTTCCCCTGACTTGCCCCTTCCTTGATTTGATTCTTTGCATAAATAAATGTTACTTAACAGAATGGCCACCTCCCTACCCAGCATTCCCTTTTCCTGCTTTGTATTCCTCAGCACTTGTTGCCGTAAGAAGTCCGCACCTCTTCGGACAAGAATGTAGAGTGAATGAGAGCAGGGGCTTTGCTGGTTCACTGCTGTATCGCCAGTGTTTAGGCTCATACCCCGCACTTGGGGCTGGCTGGGGGTGGTGGTGGCTTACTAAGTACTTGTTGAAGGAATGAATAAATGGTGTAGCTGAGAGAGAGAGAGAGTGGAGTTCAGGCCAACAATTACTTTCTTTCCTTACTTTGGCGCATGGCAAATAGTCTCATGAGGAGAACACACTGCTGACAAGACAGTGGCAATTTCAAAGCAGAAAGAAAAAGTGTGAAAGAGGAACAAATAATTAAAGACCGTGGTTCCTACTCAGGGATGGTATACGAATCACCTTAGAACACTTAAAAGATACGCAGGCCCAAGCCTAACCACTGAAGAACTGGATTTACGAAGTAAAGGTGGGGGCAGGGCAACTGTATTTTTAAAAGTTCCCCGAGTGATTGTAATGTCCAGTCCCTGTTAAAACCACTTACTCAAAGGAAGCATCTCAAAAGGCATGTGGTAAACTATGCAGTAAATAAAATAACACACATTTGTTTTTTTTAAAACCCACATACCTGACTGGGGACTCAAAAATATAGTTGTTTTTTGTTTCTTTTTGTCTTCATGTAAAAGCACTGCCTAAAAAATGAAATAGACTGGTTTACAAAATCGAAAGGAAGAGCATTTGAAAACAGCCTTAAAACGGTAACCATATCCAAGGAGGGCCGAAATTAGGCATGTGGAAGGCAGAACTTTGCAAGTTAATTGAAAAGCAAGACAGAGACTCAGGAATCCTTAAAGCACGCCCTGCCATCTGGAACATAGCAAGCCTCACCACACGCTGCACCGAGGGCAGAGAGAGGAGCCAGGCGGGTTAGCCAGAGGAAGGAGGGCAGGGCTGGGGGCTGCCCAGCACCTCGCTGAGGGCCTGGCGCAGAGGTGCTAGCACTCAGTAAGTGTTCGCTGAACAGACAGATGACCCAAGGGCTTCCTGCTCAGGTGTGAGCTAGGTTTACCTGAGCAAATGTGCCAGTTGGTCTCAAGGGGCTAGGTGAAGAAGGGGATCCAAATACACAATCTGATTTAGACATACCTGAGAAAAAAATTAGCATTTTGTTCTCACTTTAAAATGAAAGCAGTAGCCCTGTTTTCAAACTTCCACAGAACAATTTTCTGTGGATAGGACAGAAGCTCCACTCAGTATATTGTGTGGACAAAATAATAACATATTTGAAGAAATGAGAGAGGGCAGCATAATTTTTCCATAGGAAGAAGCAACTGAGTATTTTGAGTTGCTACTGGAGGAAATGCCCCATATTCTAGCCCCACTCCTCCTTTCCTATTTCACTTTTAGGATACAGTGACTACTCGATTTAATGTGTAAATACTGCGTTCTGAGGAATCCAAGATTCTATTGCTTTTCTTTAGGTTTGCTAATACCCAGCCTCCCGCCCCAGGATACCCCTGGCTCTCCTTGATTTGCTGCTGCCCCTGCAGCCTTCCGGAAGCACTGCTTTGGTTTGACAGCTTCACTAGTAGACAACTTAAACCTTAAACTAGTAGACAACTTAAAGAGCTAGGAGGAAGAAATCCATCAAAGCTCGGGGAATGCTGGGGCCTCCCTTCACTGCTGTGCTGTACCCAAGAGGAACGTGATAACGTGCTTTGTGCTACTAGTAAACAGACCGCCAGTTCTTCAGAAGGGTCTACAAAAATAACTTTGGTAGAACTTCATTATATCTGATCTCTACTATTTCCAGTTTCCTCATCTGTCAGCTGGGATCACCAATACCACCATCTCATGGGGCTGGGGAGAAAATTAGATGAGACTGCCCACGTAAAGTACTTAAAATAGTGCCTGACTCATAGTAAGCACTCCATGAATGTTAGCTCTAGCTATTATTTTAATTTCTCTTAAATATATATTCCTCTTATAATCATAAAAGATCTGGTCTATGTCCCATGTCAGGGTAAAAAAAGTTTGAATTTACATTTGTCGGAGTTCCTTAGAAGTAGGGCAAGCTGTGTCTTCCATAAACACTGAAGTCCTATTTTAAAACCAATAATTAAATAATTTAAAAATATACTTCATTCCATATAAAGCTCCTTTTTTAAAAAAAATAAGAATAAGTGCTCTAAAAATTTTGTCTTTAAAAAAAGAGACACTATATTGCTGCTATGATATAATAAAATGGAAGAGAGGTACTAGTGTTCCAGGAACGATGAACAGTAGAGAATTTTAAGGGAATTGTCGTCAGTGCTGACTCTGTTACACCATCCATACACATACACAATTGAGGACAGGAACAGGAGAGGTTACTACTTTAATCTAAAAAATGACTTCGCCAGGTTTCTTTCCTATGCCAATCAAATTCCATCCACTCTCACAGGTTTGTTCTGAGAAACAAAGTGAGAGTATATAAACTGCTTTGTAAATCCTAACTCCTCATACACAGAGAAGGTACCTTCACGCTTAACAGTCTGTTAAAAAGGTGCTCACAGTGGACACTTCACCCATTTAATAGAAAGGGTCAATGCAGATCCAACAACTCAAAGGGATGGGACGTATGGATGATATTCAACTATGGACTGATAATGTTTTTTTCCTCATCGTAAGAATAATCACACTTGCTGCAGGAAACTATTACTGTACTATTATATACTCCATAATTCTCTTCTGCAGCTAGAACCACCATAACTGTGTCACAGAGTTCCTTCTGGTCCCTTTTCTAGGCATGTGCATGTACATATTCAAACAAAAGTACAAGTGGCTCACTATGCACAGCTTGGTGTCCTGAGATAATTTAGCTACTACCCCCCCCCCCCCCACCACCTTGGCCAGTCAGTGCTTCAGTTTCAAAAGTGCAGCACATACTGAGAAGTGAAGCTCAAGTGGCAGCTTATTTCCTGGTCACATAGGCTACATTTTATAGGCACTGTGGATGACTGGGTTTTCCATTCATTGATAATCTTAGAAAAGTCAACCAAGTGACTTCTATAAGCCTCTCAATGAAATTGGGAATACGTTTAAGACATATAAGAGGGTCTGAATTAAAGGGGGTGGGTTCACTTTCTTAAAATCTTTTTCAGTAAGTCGATCTGTTAAAGAAATAAATATAACTAAAATAGTAAAAACTCTAAACTCTAAAAAAGAGATTTCCCTTGAGATGTGAGTGCAAACATCGAGGTATGACTGGTATCCATACCTGGAGAGCCTTTAAATTGGGGGCATTCCTTTTTAATGTGCCCTTCTCTTCCACAAATAAAACAACGTTTTTCTCTTAAGTCTTTGTCATCCTGTCTCTTCCATTTTTCCACCGGTGGCCTGAGAATTTTCTCTCTGCCCAGGTCGACAGCTGCCCTCACTGGCTTGGCTTTCTGAGGTGTGCACTGCATGGGCTTATCTTCTTTTGTCGACACCTCCCTCTCTGTGTACTTGTTCTGAATTTCTTTGTCCTCTTTGCTTCTCTTCTCTTTGTTCTCAGGGTATCTTTGGTTCAGGGTATCTTCCTGATCACGCCGTCGCCTCACTCTAGAAGATGATATAACACCGGTAGGAAAAATCTAAACAGAAACCTGACAAGACATTAAGGGCGCTCCAGGTTTGGGAGATAACCAGAGATAGAAAGTATCAAAGAATTTAACAAATTTAAGTTCGTCTCCTCTTTCAAGAAGCAACCTCAGGGCGATGGTATAGTTTTTCTTTTTGATTTTCAGAACTACTCTAGTGCCATAAAAGCAGTGTTTGCAGTTAGTGGAACTCCTTGGTCCAGTACCTACTGTGATATGGATGTAATGAAACTCCAATGATTCTTGGGGTGATTTCTTGCAATTCTTGTGGCCCATTCTTTACTAGGCACTAGAAATTTGAGACGTGGAACCTTCAGTTCACAAGGGAACAAGGATTGTAAGGAGATTTATATTCTTAAAATGTTGAAAATGTTTCTTTCTTGCTCTACACGATCAGTGACTATTATTTGAATACAAAACCAAAGTACTAAATAAGAGCTTCAAATTCCAGATGGTGCCTTATTTAAAAAGCATGTTTTTAAATGAGAGTATTATTGTTCAATTAAGACCACCACACCAGCAAGCAACCAGCACTGCCCCCCCAGCCCCACCTCCTGCAAACATCACCAGAAGCAAGCATGCTGACCGAAGTGAGGGGGTCACCACAGCAATCATTAAGGGTTGAACTGTGTACAAGTGAAGGGTTCTATCTAGCAATAAACTGTACATGAGTCTGGTACAGCCCCGCTCCTGTACACTGGATGTATAACTGATGTCCTGAAGAGCCCATTTTACTTTGCTCGTTTCTTCTTCCATCCCTGTTGGAGAGGCTGGTGACCAAATGGCTGAGTAGCAACTGGGGCACTGACCAAAATGAGGAAAGGGGAGCAGGCCTGGAAGACTGTTATCTGTACACCTGAGGGACATCTGGTCATCTGCGCTTAAATGCATGTTTTAAATCACTTCATTTTCATTGTGAAAAATCATTTATCTGAGAACTGCTGGATTTAATACAAGTTTATTTTCTGTTACAATAGAACCTCATTTAAAAACTGGTACAATAAGAGAGTAAAAATGAAACCACCCCTTTTGAACACTGACTTACTTTCTCCTCATAGGACAGTCCTTCATGAAGTGTCCAATTTTCCCACAAATTCGGCAACATCTATCATTTGGGGCCAGCTCTCCTTCAGTTAGCACTTCTGGATCAAAAAAGTACTCCTAGCAGAACATAAATACAGAAAAGTATGAATTATTAATGTGAGATCAAAACACAAAAACCAACCAGATATCAATCAGAGACCTTCTTTTTAATGATTATTATACTATTTAATTCCAAAATTTATGACCATTAAGAGGTTTACTTCAGGATAGTTTTACCGAAATTCATGTTGGTTTATTCCTTTTCATCATGCAGACCACGGTTTAACCCTAACCACAAAGGGAGCCTGTTTTTCCAGGATACTTCTACACAAGAGCATCACACATACCCATGAGTCAGCTTCCCCAGGACTTGGGGGAGGCTGAGGTCGGGTTCAAAGGCTTCGCTTTCTCATAAAATGAAAAGGCTAAAACCCAATAAACTGAGGAAATCATTTGCATTACATATGCAGAGAAAAAGAAAGAAGCTATGTGTTATTCTGTTTGTTGTGGCTTCTGGAGAAAAATATCAGAAGAAAGGAAAGAGAATGTCTGGACTGAAGCCTCCTTGCCAGTGAAATCAAGGTGAGGACCAGAAGTATCAGCACCACCTGGGAGTCTGTAAGAAATGCAAGTTTTGGTCCCCATCCCGAGCTCCTCAATCAGATCTGCATTTTAACAAAATCCCCAAGGTGATCTACAGGAACAAATTTCAGAAGTCTTGGTGTAGAAGACAGCCATAGCATATCCAGCAAAAACTAGATGCACAGATGTGAACCAATGCTGAATGTACACCCATACACTTAAGTTTCATTTAAAAAGTCTTGATTAAGAAAGTTAATGTAGGAAGAAATAACTTTAACAGAAAACCCTCTAGTTCCTAACTCCCTTTTCTCTCACTGAAAGGAATTTTTAGAGTGCAACTTTTGTTTTTAATGAGTCCAGTTCCATACAAATTTTGAGTATCGGGTTATATGACACCAGTGAGCTTGCTAGCACAGGGAGCATGGTCTCTCTCCTAGTCCCATTAAGAAATGTATTACTCTGCAAGCGAACTGAAAAATCTAGACTTCATATGAGGAGGGCGGAGGACCCTTAGCTACGTGCAAGCTGGACTTGGCAGAGGCTGGCCCGGAGCTGAATGCTGGTGGAACAGCAATGCCATCTACATGCGTTCCCAATGCAAAGCAGCAGCACCACAATGACTAATCTTCCCACCCAAATCCCACTTCTGGCTGTTTCTCCCTTTTCTCCTGATAAAAATGGCCTCAGAACTGGGATGCTGAAAAAAAGGTTGTTAGGAATTACTTTGTCTTGCAATTGTTTATCTTGGCTAGCCTCACCAGACTTTCAGGGTATGCATTACCAGTGTGTTATGTACAAATTAATAAAGCACCTTTTTTTGTTTTTTTGGTATTTCTAATAGACACTTACCATTTTTGAGGGGCAGTCCTTTGGAAATCCTTTGACTGGAATACCAAATACTCTTCTACCATTAATAAATGCTTTCATTATAAAATTTGTCACTAAGAAGAAAAGAGTAAGTGCTCAATTAGATGGACTAAAAGGAAAAGGATCGCATTAACATTTATAAAACAAAGCAACTTACTTTTCCTTGATAATCCAGCTCCAAGATTATGATTCAAATCAAAGGGATCTAAGTAAAGAAAATTAATGAAAACAAAAAAGATAATGAAATAGGAAATGCCACTATTCATACATTAAGTTGAGTATATAAGAAGAAAGTGTTACATACTTTATCATTAACGAAAGTACAGTTGCCCCTTGAACAACGTAGGGGACAGAAGCACCAACCCCCCACAGTCAAAAATCCACACATACCTTTTGAGTTCCCCAAAACTTAACTACTAACAGCCTACCATTGACCAGAAGCCTTACCTATAACATAGGTGACTAATACATATTTTGTATATGTATCGTATACTGCATTTTTATAATAAAGTAAGCTAAAGAAAACGTTAAGAAAATTATAAGAGAAAATACATTTACTGTATTTACTGAAAACAAATTCACATGTAAGTGGACCTGTGCAGTTCAACCTCTTGTTGTTCAAGGGTTAACTGTATTAAATGACTGCCTTTTTAATGAGTTTTAAATGTGTAATACAGCTACATAATATAGATTCCTAAATATAAGTCAAGTGTTTTATCCAAAGTGTCCATCAGAAGAGAGGATGTTACTTTATATTTGAATCTGTATCGACTCCTTCCTATTATGAGGAGTTGCTTCATTTGAACAACAAAATATTGTTTGGAGAGGACATATTAGGCAAGTATTATCTAATGGTGCTAGTTTGGGAAGCATAATGAAGGTCAAAATATATTTAGAACATTTTAGTATTGGATGTTCCTTCTAACTACCAAATGTTTTAAGAGTCACTTTAGTCATCCTGGAGATCATAAAACACACTTATAAGACAAATTAAGACACACACACACCTGTCCCAAAGGCTACTTGACCTCAGTTTTTAGTGAAAGCTTCATAAAGGACTCCCATATGATGTTAAAGGTCTGCATCTCAAAGTCTTAGTTAGGTATATATATATATATAT